AATATTGTACTGGCTCAAAAAGAAAAAAACCGACATTCTAAAAAAAAATTACAGAATTATTGGTACCAAGTTGTGTTTCCCGAAGCTAATAAAGAAATCAAATTTTAACAAAATTAAAAATTTATCATAGAAAAATTTGTTAAGTTTTGCCTATACTTTACCCCTTAATAAAATATACACGTACTCATGCCTCTTAATAAAAAAAAGTTTGGAATTAGGCTACAGATTTATGCCATTATTTAAGATTGTTTTGAGCCGTTTTAGATTTTTTGTTTTTCCACAACTATTGTGTTATTATATTATAGGTTTTTTTTTTAATGCCAATTCGTTTTAAATGCGTCTTGGGATTTATTGCAAGTAGCAGTGCAGTGAAACGCCTAGGTATTTGTGCAGTTGGAAATGTTAAAAGTGCAGTTGACATAACTCTACTAGATTTTTTTTTGGAATCGAACACGTACATTTTTATTTATGATAATATTTTTTCCGGTTTTTCGAATAATATATTATACATTTTTTTATTGTTACCGTAGTCACAATGCGCGTTTTGATAAGTCGCATTGAGTATAATATAAATCATTTTGGTTGTTTTTAAAAATTTTCTAGCCTTTTGAAAAACACAAATTCGTTTTTTGTTTATTTTATTCACATTGTCATCTTTGTAATTTTGTAGACACGTGCGTTTATTGTTCGTGTAACGACCGTATTAATGGTTGTGAATCCGCAAAATAAATTATTTTTGTGTAATATATAACCGAGACAAGTTGTTTTTCTTGATCATCAGCCATTCTCCAGGAGTTCAAAATCTAAGCGATAAAAATTATAATTCAATAATTGTCGATGGATTAACTATTATATTTTTCAGCAACATATACATTATTATCATGTTTAAATAATATTTAAATTATTTTCAACATACACTAAGTTGTTTTTATACTCCCATTTTTTTTCTCCTATTTGTTTTTTTTTTTTGTGTATTCAAGTAAAAATTGATGACTGATGGCGTTCACATTTTTATTTAGTAGTATTTATTTATTTTCAACATACACTAAATTGTTTTTACACTCCCATTTTTTTTCTCCTATTTGTTTTTTTTTTATATTCAAGTAAAAATTGATGATTGATGGCGTTCACATTTTTATTTAGTAGTAATAAATGATCAAAGCATTGCAATCGTTGACTGTGTAAACAAAACAGAAAACAGACTTACATTACAATTTCTGTAGACAAAAAATCAAACTCTAAATTATTATATTTTATTATAGTTAGAAAAACAAGTGTTTATTATATCACGACATGAGTATGTTTTTTCATTGTAGATTACCTAATAAAATTGCCATGTAAAAATGCTACATGAATATTCACACGTTTGAACTGAACATTGTTATCGATTATTTGTTTAATCTGTCGTCATAAGATTTAGAAATAAACGTCGATGCCAACACGGTCAAACATCCAAGCACAACTATATTATGTTACAATCTTATTTATTAATAATTATTTGTAATCTGGTTTCTGGTACTTTCCAATTAACAAGACATCCGAAAACAACTACCGCCAGACCACAAGATAATTATTTTTAGGGGACACCAGCTAACTTAACCAAAACGTTCGTTTTACATTGTATAAAAGAAGTTTTTAACTGTTGGTTATACTATAGTAGTCGATTGTGTACACTATAAACCATTCGGTTGTTGAACCTACCTACATAGAGTTGTGTGCAAAATGGGGCTGCCGAAAGAGTATATGGCATGTTCTACCTAGTAGGTATATTATACAAGGTGATCCACTTATCGTGAACCACTCAATATCTCATAGCGTTTAATAAAAAATTAATTTTTTTTTTTCATATTGTGTTTATAAAATGTAATCTCAATTTTTTTTGTTTTTACGCTTCTCCCAACTTAGTTTTTTGATAGCATTTTTTGAAACTTAAACGGTAACGTATATATTTTATTACATTTTTAAATTGAGAATAATGTACTTAAAATGTTGACTGGTCGATAACCAGTTTCGGATAACTGTTTTTGAAGTTATTGAAGTTTCAAGTTTAGGGCACGAGGAAAGGTGGAGTGTAGTATTTTTTTAATCTGCGCGCATTGCCTAACCGCACTCCCCTCTCATCCTAACTTTAAAACTCTTATAACTTTAAAAATAGTTATCCGAAACTGGTTATCGACCAGTCAAAATTTTAAGTACATTATTCTCAATTTAAAAAGGTAATCATATATATACGTTACTGTTTAAGTTTCAAAAGTTGCTATCAAAAAACTAAGTTGGGAGAAGCGTAAAAACAAAAAAAATTGAGATCACATTGTATAAAAACAATATGAAAAAAAAAAATTTAATTTCTTATTAAAACGCTATGAGATATTGAGTGGTTCACGATAAGTGGATCACCCTGTATACCTTTAAACTATACCTATACCTAATTTATGTATTTGACAATTAGTACGTTTAATTTTGCATACAGCGTTATTTGTGAGACACATTTTAGATCCCCTTTTAGTTTTTTGTGGTTGAGCTGAAAAATATATGCTTGGAACTTTTTGTAATTTTTAAGCTCAACACACATTCATCAACTGCAGCTGTAATTTTTTGCTAAAATGTGTAATTTAGTCTAACACTTTCATTCTTTCTAACTATTTTTATAACTGTTCAACTAAAAACTATTTAACAAAAAAATGAAATGTACACGTTTATTAACTTCAATTTTAACACCTTTATTTATCTATTTTTTCAATTAGGTTATATTACAACGGTTTGGTCTTTTGTAAAAGGAAAATCATCAAACTTTTTGTAGTTACATTTAGAGAAGTTTAATTTCCTAATTTTTCGGAACTAAATTTGATACTATTGAGCTCCTTATAAAAAAAAGAAAAATTGGAGAATGTAAAAAAAATGAATTTCTATAAACACTTAATTAAAATTCTGTTTTTTTTTTCAATTCCATATCATTATGCGCCTTTCAGCGTTCCAATAGCGATAACGGGTTCCATATTTGTGTGTGGTGTATTTATTTTGGTCGATGGGTGTAGTTTGATCTAAATTATTTATACACAAAAATGTAATCATTTATAATATACCGTCAATCTATAATATTATATGTAGACGCACGTGTCGAGGGCGGCCCATCCGTTTTGGCAGAAATCGATAATGGGATTTATTTTTAAACACAACTGGACTATAATTTGATACAAACCCCATTAACGGGTTTACCTGCCACAATTTCGACGAATCGTAGATATTTCTAAATGCAATAAATCAACAAAAATAATAACTGAGAAACGAAAAAAAAATTTTCAATTTCCGTTTGTTAACACACTTCTGGCATTTATCGTCCTTAAGATTTCCGACTTTGAGCAATTCATTTGTACAGTCGCAGAGTAATGTTTGTAAGCTTAATTAGGATTACCTATTTGAATTGTGGCTCGATTTGTAATTTTCAAATTCCAAACCCAACATAAACGACTAGCCAATATCTGCAAAGTACAACACACGCGGATATAATATGCATATACAGAATGATTGATTTATCGTAAGACGCTAATTATTTTTAAAATAATTGCCATTTTGTAGTTTTTTTTAAATATTTTTACTTGTACATTTGTATTGAATGTCATGAGATAACCAAGTATTCATATTTTTTAGTAGCTATCAACTTTTGAAATTAAAAAATAATAACATCTATGTATCAATTTGTGATAATCAAAATGTGATATCAATTTTTCACAATTTTTTTTGTTTTTCCCCCCAACCAAAATTATTTTTGAAGTCAACTTTTGAAACTTAAATTGATAACAGAAGAGTGGTTATAAAAATAATACTACACTCCACCATAACTCCTGAGTCCTGTCCTAAACTTTAACTTTAAATTTTAATAACTTTACCATATACTAGAGTGTCCGTTATTTTCGACTTATTCGAAAATGTTTGCTTCATTGCTAAACCGTAAAAAAAATCCACTCCAACTCAGTTTCAACCGGCCATGCTTACCCTGTACACTATTACCGTTCTAAGGTTCCTATTCTAAGTAGCACACGGTGTTTTCTATACCCTATTCTCTAAAAATTGATTAAGTTGTTTTACGCAAATAGGAAACGTCTTAACATCTCCTAACTCCACCCAACTAAGTTATATACAGGGTGTTCAAGCATAGAACCACACACATATAAGGGGGGAGGGGCATCAGTTGAGTGCAGTAAAAAAGCCTTCCGTTGTCCGTTTTTGGTTATCTCAAAAATCACAGACTTAACCTCCCCCCCCCAAGTTCATAAAAAATAAATTAAAAATAAAATTCAAGTTCAATTCGGTACACTAAGTAAGTACCGAATAAAGGTTATTATTACTCGAACGTAGGTATTGACTATTGCAATAATAACTGTTACCGGTTAATGATGATGATTGATTAGTACAATCTGTATGCTTTTAAAAACCAGTATAACAGTTATTTTTAACTCTGTGTCATACATGTCATACATTTAGCCAACTTGCATAGGCGTTATGTAAAGTAAAATTCAGCCGAAAGGGGCTGAAAATCATGTGATCCCTCTTTTAATGGGAGAATTTTGCACAGGTTACGGGTACAATTTTTTTGTAGATGTAAACACCTGTTTATTGTGTTTTTAAAACCGGCGAGATGAATATGAATTCATGGTTTTGCCATTTTAACATTTATATACAAATATCCCTAAAAAATAATGTAATTTGAATTCAACCGTTTAATATTGTGCTTTTGCGCTGTGCTTTTTTGCGGTCTTCCGGCGTTTATATTTAAACTTCGGGGGAAATTATTGTCGGCCAATATATTGATGATATTACGCTGTGTATTATTTTTGTTTACACACATCCACTGTATGTACACGTTTATGTAAACATTAGGTATAGGGAAATAGTGTTGTCGTAGGTAGGTACGGATAGCTGTTTCCGAACACGCTAGTCCGACGTGTACAAAAGCTATGTCCGACCGATATAGACTAGAAAAAAAAATGGCCCAATCTTATTATATTTTATCATTATGATCAATCACTGTGTTATCGGTCGTGGAACAATAGCAAAAACACCGGCAATGGATTCTACTATATAATTTATGTGTGCCAGTCGTTGTCGCGGTCTTGTCAAAAAATGTTGCCGTTATACCGTTTATTATACGCTTTATTAGTACAGTGTTGGTTTTCCTAACATATAGTGTTTATAATAATAATATTGTGTAGGGCGGTTAATTCGTTAGCTTTGTGTATTTCACACCTGACACCACAACAGCGGATCAAGTGGGGTAGTCCCCGTATACACTACTATACTGTGTTTAGAGAGTGATAATTAGTCCTCTGTTTCTATCAGCAGCCTATACAAAAAGGATTTGGATTTATTTCCGGTATAAACGGCAAGTAGTATTGATTACTGCAGAAATACCGCATCTACGGTACTTTTTTAATTTAAATGTTTTTTTGCATCAGCTGTTCAGATAATCAGATTTGGCCGCCAGTGAAATAACAAAAAAAAAGTTTCCTATAAGTAGGACACAGTGTTTCACAGCGAGATTGAAACGCGGTCGATAAAAAAAAATATTCTCTAGAAGACATACTATATCGGTTGAAATCTTCACCAGATAGGTAAGATTTTAATAATTGTTTAATAACGTTGATATATTATATAGTGCGTTACAAATTATGACATGGTCATACGGTTTGATAAGAACCATATCTTAAACGACAATTTTTTCTAAAAACTAATAAGTTATCGTTTTAGCTAAAATTAAGTTTTACAAATGACATTTGTATTGAGTATATACATACCTGTAATAAATTATTGAAATCACTTTTTAGTGTGACTTTATCGGTTTTTTCTCCCAAACAAAATAGCTTGGCCATAGAGATTTTTGAAAATTGTACTCTACCTTCACTCTAATTATCAGACTCCAAAAGAAAAAAGTTCTATCATTTTTAGAGTAAAACAATTTTAATACAATGTTAGTATTATATTATCTTAATAATATTTCGTACAAATTTGGAATTAATTCGGTTATAATTGTAAAAAAAAAAGGCTTAGCGCGCCGTAATTTTAAGTTGAGAAAATGTGTACATTTTTTCTCAATTTTCAAAGGAAATTAACTCTTTAATTAAATTTGCCCCACTTACAAACGACTGACTTGCAACTTATTGATTTTAACAAAGCCAACATGTGTTTTGTAGAAAATAATATTTTTACAGTTTTTACTTTTTTTCATACACAGTTTTAAAGAAATTCGACTACGGTTTACATATAAACAATACAAAAATGTATAAAATATTGTTCCTGTTTTTAATACAAATACTATATTTGTTTTCCCATAAAATCGGAGTAAAGCGTTGTATAACATTATATCGCACATATATTTTATTTGTTGCCGGTTGCTCGAGATTTTAAGTATCTTTTTATTATTTTAGAAAAATATACAATATTATGTAAATGAAATACAATAAGCACATGTACGACTATAATATATAGGTACAACAAAAACACACGAATTTAAAGGAATCCATGTATTTTTGTTGTACCTATCTGTTATAGAACAGATAAAAGAAATCACACTACCATTTTTTAACAAGAATTAAGTAAGATAAGCTTGGGTCATCTTTTTTTTTTAAGTATTGAAATTTAAGGTCGCTGCGCCAACAGCTTTGACACGTCTTGGGGGATTTTCACGGATGGAATCCGAGTCTAAGGCTTTTGATAAGACGAATCTGGTCAGAATGCAAATAGTCTGACCAAAATGGCTTTTACTCTTAAAAACAATTATTAAAACTAAAAATAATACCTTGAAGATATTACGAATTAACTGGAAAATGAATTGACAAGGTTTCCTTAAACATTGCCCACATAAAACTCCTTAAAAACTGCCCGGTTATCCAATCCCCCTAACAAAGATATTTTATAATCTATCTCATTTGAAGACATATTTAACGAAGTTGTTCAACAAAGTGCATTGTTGAAAAATATACTAGTAGTGTAAAATATCGAATATGTATATAAATCAATTCAAGTTTCGGTTTTTTTTTTTAACGTTCTTATACTTGAGAAAAATGTATTTTTTAAATAGTTTTTATTAGTAAAACTTGTATAAATGTTATGTATTTAAACAGTAATAATTACAATTGTTTTAGTAAAATAATTTGAATAAATAGGTAGTGAAAAATAATTAATAAATAGTTTATTAATTATCATATGTAAAAACTAGATTCAAGTTTTTTTTATTAGCCTTTATTTAGAAATATGACGGAATTTATTTAAGTTATAAAATAAAATCTAATAGTATTTAAATGTACTTGAACCTATGTATGAACATGCCTAGAATTTTTGAATTAAGTACCGAGACAAATGTTCAATTAAAAACGATTTTACCTAAATTTGGAGCCGTTTACACAAAGAGCTCAGCTGAGTCTTTGATCTTGAGATGTAGTCCGTGGTATCGTTCGTTTATTTTTTAATACAATTATTTATTTACAATGTTCAATTTCAATTTTTAGTAGGCATATACATTTAAGGTAAACACATTTATATTTGTTTTATTCTGCTTATAACTTAGAAAACACGGCTTATTCGTACAATGCACTTGCACGGAATGTATTTATTTTTTAATGACGAAAAAAGCTCGGGGGACGGATTTGAATGCAAAGTTACGGTTACGGTGTACACGTGCTGGCGCTTATCGTGCGTTCGCCTAAGAATATATGTAGGTATGTATTTTGTTTGCACAACGTTGCGGTCTATGCCGTCTTATTGTACAGCAAACCATTTTCCAACATTAACCATTGATAATTATGGTTTTGGGCTGAGTGTCATTCCATAAGTAGCGTCGACCCATTAGGAATGGGGGGTAGATTTCCTTTAGTGATAAGAAACAGCTGATTACTGATGCTGATAAGAGATCAGTTAAGCATTTACTACTTCAGATTTGGATTCAATAGGTAAGGCTGGGTTTAGGTCAAGAGCAAGGGCAATACTATCGGATGGATGAGAGAGGATAGCAACGAAGGGGATGGGAGAGAGAAAACATGTCCACGGTTTTATGCTTTTTTTCCCGAAATGCATGTGTTAATTATAGACAAACGATCGACCGCGAATTTTCTAACTTGAAAGTACCTATTGTCATAAACAAGACGATACACATACATACATACACCTATTGTAATTACAGTTGCTTAATTATGTCAAGCTCCTGAACACAGGCAACCTATATATTATGTGTAACAAAATTACATTAACTTGACCTTGAAATAATTAAGGCTATAAATTTATGTAATGATTGAACGACGCTATAGGTACTATTTTTTTCGGTTTTGCGCCGTCCGGTGCGCGTTTTAAAACGGTTTTTTTTTTTTTTTAATTTATCGTTATTGCCGCGTTTACTTTTTCGGATTTTTTTTAATTATCGCTCGACCGTATCGACCGTCGATAAATCTTTATACAACAAATAATAATAATACTTATAAGGCGCGTCAGTCGAATGTAATATCTTGGCTTTGACGTTCTCTCTCTCTGTGTGTGTGTGTGTGTATATACGCTATAAGGATATGCGTTTGTTGTGTACAACATACATATTATAACAACAATCGGGAGTGTTGCAGTAAATTATAATGAGCAGAAATTGGAATTCGTCGTTTCGATGGGTGCGGTGTATGTGTGTATAATGTATAGGTATGTATATACAGGGCGGGCGGCAGAGCGATGGCGGCGGTGGTGGTGCCCGTTTGATTTATAATATTCGGCGAGTTTTTGACGATTCTTGTCGGCGGCAAAGACAGGGCACAAGGGGGAGGAGGGGCACCGTGTAGATTTTTTGAAAGAGACCCAAGGCCCGCGTAACTCAGTCAGTTTTTGACAGATTTATAACCGGACCCCGGCGGGGATAGAAGCCCATAAACGCGCGCACATACACACACACGCAGTCACATATGTAGCCCAACGACCGTATAGCTGTTATAGCCTATATAGTCGACGTGGGAGGGAGGACGGACAAGGACAGAAGACACGCGTGCGAGCGAGAAGAGAAGAACACAAGAAGTCATCGCCACCGACGAGGGTTACACGGAATTGATTGTGTAAAATCGAGGGGCGTCGGGGAGGGGGGGGCGGGGTAATAAGGATTTCGTGACGAGATGTTTCTGTTCGATATAGTATTGTAAAAGAAATGTGTGTTTCTTTTTTTTTTTTATTACTTTTCTCTTTCCCCAGCGCGGTTGCTGTTTGGGATATGCGTATATAGAGGTAGGTAGGCACTATATACACCTCACACTCATCGCACTATCTATATTATACACCGCGCTGCACGTCCGATCACAGTTATATAGAGACAGTCAATGTCGTTTAAACGCTATGTGTGCTCTGCCGTGTCTTCTTCTTCTTCTTGGCATCACAACTCCTTCTTTGGACGTCCTCTTGCGGAGTCTCTTTCCCGTCGGTTTCCACTCGACCGCCGCTTTTAGGTTCTCTGAGTCGGTCCCTCCGTACTTGCTCGGTTTCAAGTCCGCCGTGCGGTCATTGATACACCTAGAGTTATGTGCTTTTGACACTGCCTTCTTTATTATTGTTCGCCGTGTTAGGGTTAAATAATTTTTAATCCGACTAAATGTCTTGATCTTTCCACCGTCATCCGTTGCTTAGGGTCTAGGGATGCTACGGTCAATGATGATGGCTGGATCCGACCCGCGTGTCAAGTTATACCTGTTTTGTGTCCCCCACTTTTCCAAACTATTACAATAATATGATGTGAGCGCATTAATAGGTATATATTATATTTTCTGTTTTTTTTTACCTTAAAAACAATACTGACTCAGTGCAAAAATGTTTTGTGTAGTTCAAACTAGAATTTAAAAAAAAAATCGCTTACAGAATAAATACTTCTTATAACATTAAAGTATAAGTATAAATTAAAGTATCAAAACACATTGATATGTTAAAACCGTTTATGTAGTAAAAGAATTCTCACAATGTAACGACATATGTATACATAAATTATCAACTCACTTAAGTCCTACTTGGTTCTAAAAGTATTTTCAATTGGCAACACATAATTCTATGTAGCGTTCCAGTATGATCCTATAAATTTGTAATGTTTTGGTAAAATGAAATAGAAATCAAATCTGGTAAATTTTTTTTCGACTACACTTCACTAACGATAAAGGGTGGTTTAAGCACAAATATATGTACGTGTAAGTCCTGGGGTGGATCTAGGAATGAAAAAAAAAACGGGGAAGGACTAGAAATAAAAATTCTCTTAAAATACAAGCAATAGTCATATTAAAGTTAAAGTTAACACGGTAAAAAAAGTACTTATATTATAACGTTTATAAAAAAAACCACACTTTTAATGCGTACAATTTAAGTACATAAAAGAAGGGCTTCAGCCCCCATAACCTCCCCCCCCCCTTGTGTTCGCGCTTAGAGGTGGCAACTTAACACACTGTACATTAGTGTTGACTATTTAGCGATATGAAAATATATTTATATAGATACACTATAACATGTTATTAATTTCCATACATTATTAGGTGTCTACGTACAGTGTATCTTTATGCATGTATATATATATATATAGGTACAGTGTTGTTGGGCTCATAAAAAACGCGAACCC